ACCATTATTTGCACAATAAACCTGAAATAGGATTAAAGATATTTATGGGAGCTATATCCAAGTCTTAGTCCATCTCGAATATATTTTACAAACGTATTTCCGAGCTCTATAAGATATCTGGTACCAAATATCATTGTTGTCGAATGCATATTAAGAATATGAGGATGAAACATATATATGGGAGCTATAGCTTTATCTGAACCAATTTTCACCAAATTTGATGTACTTGCTTCTAGACTGAATTCGGTCGGATATACTAAAATTCAGGTCATTTGGACTGATATTGGTTATTTGGCGCACAATTACTGAAATCGTTTGAAGATTTATGAGAGCTATATCCAAATCTGAACCGACCTTGATAAAATTTGGTAGGCATTTCTGGGCTGTATCTGATATCTGATACCAAACATCATTCTTGTGGGGTGCTATTACAAATGTGGGGGACTTAAACACGAAACCTATATATAGGAGCTATAGCTATTTTAGTCGGATGTGCCACAATTCAGGTCATTTGGACTTATATTGGCCATTTGGTACACAATTAACCCGAAATTGTTCACAAAATACATGGACGGACTGACATGCATAAATCGAATCAGAAAGTGATTCTATGATTATCCTCAAACGTAACTATGCGTCTATCTCTCTGCCGCTTACAAACAAATGTACAAAGACATAATACCCTTACCACTATGTGGTGTAGGGTTTAAATATTGAGATGTGTGTAATTTGAAAACTATCGGACACTTACGTCTTATTTTGTAAGAGTTATAATTATTTAAAATTTGACAGTGAGGGAGGTACTTTTTGGAGTGGACAGATATTGTCCAGTTTCGCACCTGACTTACAACTGATGCCAATATTAGGATTTCCAAAGTTGGAGCAAAAGCGGATTATCCTTTCTCTTTATGTGCAGTAAACTATTTTATTTGAAAATGTTAACATTTTGTAGGGGAGGTACCAGAAGGAGTGGACCGATATTAACCATTTCCGAACGCGGTATAAGTTTGACAATAATATTACCATGTATGAAGTTTGAATCAAAACGGATAATCCCTTCGAGAGTTATCGTGCGCCCCAGCCAGCTAGCCAGACAGATGAACGGACATCGCTAGATCGACTCCAAATATCCTGGAACGGATTTGGTTCAAAGAGGCTAGGGTCTAACATGTCTTTCGCACATCCCAATATTTCTATTAACACAAGATCTCTTGTAAATATATTTTAATCATCCGATTCTTCTCAAACTTCACACATCTCAATATTTCTACTAATACAAGTTACAAGTCAGCGATTCCATTTAAACTTGGTATATCTTAATATTTCCCTCAACAAGGAATGTGACCCTTTGATACCTCCTCGCATAGAATTGAAAATAAAAATTTGAGTTTCTTTATATTTAGCAGGTCCCAATATTTTTATTAGCCAAGTTTAAACACTGTTTCTTCTGCCATTACAATGATATAATAATTAAGAGTTAATAGAATTTAATATCTGTTAACTTTCAAATCAATTTCAATTCTCATTTAATCCACCCCAAATAATATGAACGCTATACCTTGTCCTTGAACCCCCCGGTCACAAAAACACTTTTCACCCTGTTGGGTACTTAACTAATTATTAAATTCCATATTTAAATTAAACCTAAGTATTTGGTTGGGCGCCATTACCCAATTTACTACAATTTGCCCAAAAAACACTTGAAGGTGTTAAATTCTGTATCGGTTAATTTCACATTTCCGCACACAACATACAAACATAGTTTACATGCCATTGTCATGGCAGCAACAGCAGCACCAGGGAGGGGGTTCAAATAATTAGATATCTTCATGTAAAGCAAGTACAATCGCTCACACTGTCAGTTAGTCAGTCACCTAGATTTGATCACATCATATCTGAAATATCTGTGGCTATTTTCCATATGATAGCTATCGTGCGACAACGAACTCACACGTCATTGAGCGGGCCAAAGAGAACGAACGAGTGAGAGAAATAGCAAGCCAGTATTGCCATATGATGGAGTTAAATTTAATTTCTTAATAACTAAAAACTCGGGTTATTTATTCGTTCTAAGAATAGCAAAATTTAATTACGCAGTGTGGTGCTTTTGACTTTGTTATAAAAAATATTCTTTTGTGAAGTTTTATGAATATTTAAATAGATTTTTATAAATATTTTTTTTTTAGGATTTTTGAGGATAACATTTTTGGTGAATTCTAGAACTGAAATGACGGAATTTTGGGGATTACCAGAACAGGATTTGACTATCTTTGAAGGGGCATAATTATGGTTCTTCCAATGGTCAGATTTAATGATTATTAAAACTTTAATGTTTATCCATTCCAAACTCAAATTCATGTAAGTGCAGATGAATCGGTCTAGTTTAGGTATAGCCCCTGCCGATTTTCAATTTTTTCAACATTTTACCCTCAATATTCAATCGTATTATTTTTAATTTGGCCCAGTCCATAATGGTAGGGACGATTAAACATTTATTTCTAATCAATTTTTCCATTTTCCCATTTCCATTTTTTCTGCGGAATGTAATTTTTGAAAACTATCTACAACTCTCTATAGACGGAATGCCAAAAAAATAAGTACAAAACAGCAATTATTGTGTTTTTAGAACTTAAAATTTATAATTATTTATTATTTTTATTTTTTTTTTTTGTTATTCTCTTTGCCAGATAGAGAGGTTGAACTATGGAGGTAAATGAGCACTCATCTTATGTTAAGACAATTAATTACTTGGTCTGACTGAAAAGTCATTTTGTTGTAATTTTCCGAGAATAACTCATAATTTTTGTCTTATTAATAATGCAGAATGTGTGGTTTTGTCATTACTTTTGGGATACTGGTAATTGATCATAACCATAAACCCTGGTTATGAAAGAAAAAAAAAACAAATTTATTTTCGTATAACCTTATAAAATAACTTCAGATCTTTGAAAATATTTAAACACCCCCAATACAGACGGGCAATTTTTAATCTGTTTGCTTAAATATCTCTGGAATTTATAATTATCATTACACGACAGAATATTTTGTTATATACAGGGTAAGATAAAAAAACTGCAACAAAGTCAAACTCTATAATTTTTACATTTGTTTTTAAAATTTTATTGAATGAAAGCAAAAAATCTCGGAAATAGCATCAACTTTTAGAATAAGTTTAGATATGTTCGAATTGGTCACCTTTGGTACGAATTATGTCCTACAAACGGCCAATGAAACCGCCCGCCACACGCCGCCCGAATGTTGCTTTGCGGTATTTGGCCCATTCCCGGCGAAGCGCTTGCTTGAGGTGATCGACACTTTGGTATTTTTTATTGCCAACCTTGCTTTCTAAAATACTCCTGACACAATAATCCAACGGATTAGTATAAGGAGATTTTGGTGGCCATTGTGCGCTGGAAATGAAGTGAGGAACCTCGTTTTGTAACCATTCTTGGGTGGCGCGTGCTGAGTGCAATGGTCCTGTTGGAATGTCCAAGGTCTGCGGCAAAAATGTTTGCGTGCCCAAGGGTTTAATACACCCTCCAGAATATTTTCGCGATAATATTCAGTATTCATTCAGATGCCACGGTTTCATTCAGATTAATACAGGCGGAGAGCGACCATCGGCAGTTATGGAGGCCCACACCATCACCATGGAAGGCGCTTGAGTTCTGGTGGCCAACCGAATGTGCATATTTTCAGCTGACCTCTTTGGCAAGTAAACACGATCATTTTGTTTGTTTACAAACAGCTGGACAACGAATGTTTTCTCATCGGGAAACCCAAATTCGGCAGTTCACCACTTTAGGCCAAGCGAAGCAACTCTTTAGCTCTTTTGAGCTTATGTTCTTTCTGTTGCGGTGTAAGTTCTTGCACTTTTTGGAATTTCAATGACATTACCCCGAGCTCATTTTTCAATATTTCTGCTGATGTTGCTGTTTTCTTCCGTTCACTTCCTTGACATCGGGCTATGCTACCAGTATCACGGTAACGAGCGATGGTATGAGACACAAAAGATTTATTCACATTTAAATGCTGTAGTGCTCTAACCATAGCCACCTATGGTTTTCTAGCCAAATATAAAGAATTCACACTATCACGCTTAAATTCCATCACGGATAACTTTTTTTTCTAAAAAATTCTCACCAAAATGCTTTTGCACGCTTGTAAACAATACGATGAGCTGTCACTGGAATAATTTTAACAGATGTCGGGCGAGTAGCTTAGATAGACAGCAGTCTGAATTTGGTTGCGGTTTTTTCATCTCATTCTGTATATTTAAATTTGTACCGATTATCACCAATTTTAATAGGATTCGTTGTCTGTCTAGCCAGGGAATGCCTTTGAAAGACTTATAAGTTATGATGAGATCTATGTCTGAGAAGAACCACTCCCACCTGCCAAATAGCCCATGACTCTTGTTGGATAACATGGCGCATCGCCGTCTTTACATATACTGTAAATGTAGTCAGGACCACTTTTTTCCCATCTTGAGGTCAGATTTCTGATACTACATTGACCAGTCAGTATGTCCACCACGATTCTTAAGTCGGACTTACTAAGTGATATAAGTGAGCTTGTTTTGAGATTACAGGCAAAATGTCCTTTTTAAATGGATTACAATTTTATATGGATAGACCTCATTAGCTCGGCGAGATAAGAGGGTCCATATATATTATCCTATGTCTTGAGCCAATATTTCCAGGTGTTACGTAATTTATGGCCTAATCAACTTATAATGCCCCGAAAACAGTGTTGTAGGGTATAAAGAAAGCTTTATCTGAGGAATTTTAAACAAAATTTTCAAATATTGCAAACGACGACTAATCCAAATTTGCACTTTTCACCTAATTCCGGTGGCAACCCTGTATAAACCTCAGACTGTTTACTGGAAAGAAATGTTTTGATTTTATCCGGCTAGCTTTAATTTAAGCTTTAGCCGTTACTGTAACAATGATGTGAAATTTTCAACGGCGAACGACGTTGCTGTCGCTTTAGCGTAGTAATCGCAACGCCTGCGGAACCAGCGACAGTGGCTTTTGGCTCTGCATTGCCGAAGAGTTTCCGTATGAGTTTAAAACCAATGAAGCGGTCGCTATATGGATTTAGTCGTTAACGCACGGCCAAAACGTACACTTACCGCTCCGAACGCAAGTCGATAAAGAAATCGAAATATATAACGCGCGAAAAGAATTGTTCTGGGTGTAAAGAGGTCAGAACGTCAAAACAAATCAGATCAAACAACACCTGCTACTCACGGTGACACTTGAGTGATAATAAATTTTGAAAAGTTTATTTCTTTCGAAAGCGATTGGAAATAAATTCAAATTGTGCCGGTGCGGAAGTGTGCAAAGTTTTTTCTCCTTCCTTAACTTTTTCATATATAATTGAGATCCAAAAAATCAGAAAATTTTGAAAAAAAAACCAACAACAAAAAAAATATTTACAAATTCAATATTTACTTAACACTTTTCGTGGTCTCGAAATAATTGCTTGCTTACGTATATTACACCTTACGAAAAAAAGATGTGTTAATTTTTAAATTGCATAGCATCAAAATCTGAAATCACACAGTAGAGTATTTTCGGTAGATGTTTTCCTTTTTTTTGCAACAATAACAAAAGTAATTTATTAAAAAAATCAACAAGAACAGCAACAACATCAACCAAAGAATTATTTACAATTTATTCAAGTACTCACTGGCTGTCACTGGTATTTAAATTAAAATATCATTGAAATCCCCAGTAGTTGTTGCTCATAACTACTAAACACTCACGGTTAGTACATTGCAAATACAAATTTACTTACATATATTTATTTACCGCTTTAATTTGTATAAATAATAATTAATAGTGGTTTGAGTTTTGTTTTTTTGTTTTTGTGATTCTTTCTTATTTTTTTGTTGACGACATTGCCCAAGAACTTTGTTTTTTCTTCGCATTGCAAGATCATAAGCTAACCGGCGGCGACGGAAACGGAAGCTTATATTAATATGCTACATACATATAAGAACAAGTAGAAAAAAACATAAATCTAAGTTGTATTTATGTTTTTCTCATTATCTTCAAAATTGAATAAAATTTTCCATTATGGTTTCCTTATTTTATGTCAGTCGAATATCAGAATATCAAAAATATAAATCAAATCCAAAACATACTTTAAATCGGGTGCTACCTTTATTTTATATGGCTTATGTTGATGCTCGGATTATTTTTATATTATTATCACGGTAGGTATTTGTATCCTGATAAAGAAAAAATATTTCCTAGTGGGAGAAATACCTTTATGAGGAAAGTAGATATATTGGGCCGATATCTAACATCTTTACATTAGAACAAGTGAAAAAACATTAAATTCGGCCGGGCCGAACTTTTAATACCCTCTACCTTTGAGTAAAGGAAACATTTTTATATAGAAGTATCTGAATTCAAGCGTGTGAGTAATGCCGTTATATGGGGCCATACCAAAACGGGAACGTCTATGGAAAATTTTATTCTTCAAGGATTGTCTTCTAAAATACCGAATTTGAAACAATTATGTGTGTAAATGTGACTAGGATTATAATAATACCAAATATCTGTGGGTGTCGTAATATGTACGCTATAGGAAAACGTGGAACTAAATATTCAATGTTCTGCAACCGGGCTAGAACAGATTATGAATTACAAATACCAATGTTTAGCAAGTCCGTGAAAAAATGTGGCAAAAATCGTCAAAATACCGAATATCGGAAGGTACCGTTATATGGGGGACTTACCAAAATGTGGAACTATATATGGAATGTTTCGCCACACGAGGTAGAACCCATTATGACCTTCAAATACCAATTTTTAGACAAATTCGCGAAAAGATGTGGCAATATACCGAATATCGGGAGGTATCGTTATATGGGGACCTATACACAGTGTGTTCCGCCACACGAGGTAGAAACTATTATGGCCTACATATACCAATTTTAAGACAATTTCGTGAAAAAATGTGGCAAAAATCATATGGGGACTATACCCAAAACGTGGACCGATATATCTCGTTTTCAATACCAACCGTCCTAGACATAATACAAATTTTTCTGCTAAAAATTGTTCTGTTCTAGATTAAATAATAAAGGCTGTATTGTCATTTCAACAGACAGAGGACCGGACAGACGGGCATCGTTAAATCGACTTAGAATTTTATTCTGATTATGAATATAAATTCTTTATGAGGTCTATGACGAATATTTAGGGATGTTACAAACGGAATGACAAAGTTAATATACCCTCCTTTCCAAGGTGAAGGGTATAAAAATATGGGGATTTGTGAAATTTGAAAAGAATCGGATGCCATTTTACGAGCTTTTTGTTATTCAAAACTTTCCCCCCCCATTTATGGGGCTGGTACCAGAAGAGTGAGCCGATTTTTTCCATCTTCACACCAGGGAAAATAAAGAGAATCTGATGCTTATTTGGTATATATGAGCTTGATGGTTATTCAACATATTGGCCCTTTGTGGATAAGGTGGATCGATATATCGCATCTTCACACCAGATGTTGTATTAATAGAATTATTTTGATGTGCAGAGTTTGAAAGGAATCGAATGCTCATTTCGCGTTTTAATCAAAATGCTGACTTGTTGTGGGGGAGATACCAGAAGTATTTGCCCAATATATTCCATCTACCTGCCAGATGTTCTATTGCTTGAAATGCTGACAAGTGACAAATTTGAAGAAAATCGGGATCTTATGTCACCTTTTGTAAGAGTTATAATTATTCAAAATGTTCACCCTTTATGGGGGAGGTACTTGATAGAGTCGCACCTGATTAGGACTGATAAAAACATTAGAATTTGCAAAATTAGGACAAAATTGGATTATCCTTTCCTGTTTTATAAGCTAATTTTTTTTCTATGAAAATGTTGACTTTTTTGTGGGCGAGGTATCAGAAGGAGTGGGCCGATATTTTATCCATCTCCGAACTCGAAGTTTGACAATAATATTACGATGTACAAAGTTTGGACCAAATCGGATACCTCATTCGAAAGTTATCATCCGCACTAGAGAGACAGACGGACGGCCGAACATCGCTAGATCGACTTCAAATGTCCCTAAATGGATTTGGTCCAAAGAGACCTAGGATCCATAAACGTAGTTCGATGAGAGATTAGAAATACTATTGATCGCGTAGGCGGAGTTGGCTACTTATAGAAACTCTTAAACTTAAAAAGAAAACTATTGACCATATATCCCAAAGGAGAAACCATCAAACTTTCGGCCGGGGCGAAGAGAGATTATTAATACACTTTTTTAGTTGGACACTCATTAGAGGAGTCCATGCCATAACGTCTATTATCAATATCTTAAGCGCTGAAATATAAATTGACATATGTGTGATGCCATTATGGAAAAACAAGAGTGCAGATCATAATGTGGTATATAGTTCTTATAGCCCCATAATGGACCCCTTTTCGGCTTTTTAAGGGTTTTCAAAAAGTTCCGGTATGAAACTATGGATTTTCTTGTATTGCACCCGAACCTCTTAAAATATACCATCATATGACTATTTGTTTGAAACGTTTTTCCATAAGCTGATACTTATATTTTATATTTCGAATCAGTGAACTTTCGAAGCAAGAAAAAAATATTTTCCCATAAATATAAAAAAATAAAAATATGTACCTGTGATAAAAATTTGTGGATCTATGCGTCCCAGATCTGCCGACCTAAAATAAATTTGAGTCAAATTTTGCCCGTTTGAGGTGATTTCCATAGGCGGACAGACAGATTGTAAATTTTTAGTTTTTTTTTTTTTTGGCAATTTTTTATAAAAATCTCTTTTTATCAACATTTTTAATATTGATAACTATCATAAACTTTAAATTTAGTGCCCAATTTTGTCCAAATTTCACACATCCCAATATTTCGTTCAAAATCATAACTCACATATATAGTCTATTTATAGGAATAAGTTAAAAGTGGCTTAAATAGCGACAAAACGAGTTTGTTTTCTCTAATGAGGATATGAACAAATCAGTCCTGCCGAATCTGCGAGCTCTACTCCTTTAAAATAAACAAATTAAAAACCAATTAAGAAAGTGTTTTGTGTATCGAATTTTATTAAGCGTTTGAAAGACAGACTACAATCCATACCGTTATATTAATGCCAATTGCATGCCATTTTCCTGACGACGTATGAAGTGCTTTAATCAGTTAGGCTAATACTTTATTCTTCAAGGCATTCGTTTTATTTTTCTAGTATAATTAGAAGAAACATTAGAAATGTATTCCTTCTTATGCAATTTATTTTCAGTTCCAAAATCAAAAACGCTGACCAAAAATAATGGTCGGCGATGTACATGTGATACAATTTTCTCGGAAATAAATCACAATTGTACTCACGCGCACAGAAATTATTTCAAGCAAAGAAATGCATTTGTATTTTATAAACAAACATAATTTAATTCACACTTAGAAAAGTGTTAGTGGCGTCATTCCGATGATAGATCAATATTGAAACGAAAATAAAACCAAAACATTAAAACCCTTGTATACGCGAAAAATTGAAATGTCTTTAAATCAATTGGGAATGCCACGCAATGATTCAGAATTTTTTGTTTTGACGATTTTTCATAGTTTTTATACCCCACAAAACTATGTGTTAGAGGTATTATAAAAAAATGTTTGTAACACCTTGAAATGTTGGTCATAGGCTCACGATGTTACATAACGATCTTCCAATCTCGTCGAGCTGACTAGATCTAGCTATATGTGTCCAAATGTCTTTCATGTTAATTTGTAATCACGCTACAGTGGCAATTATCATCCGAACCTCACAAATTTTTTCATGGAGTTAGTGTTATAAGCCTATTGTTGAGGGTGACGGTGGAAAAATCTTAAGGGATTAAATGGATTAAAAACTATATTTACGCTAAGTTTGTAGTCGCTGGGTCATAATTATAGACCAATCGACGCTTTGTATTGCATGGAGTATAAGCCTACCATTTTGGATACTATTTAGCGGCTGAAATGGACCAAAAATTTTGTGTGAAAAATGTAAATACACCAAATTGCTATAGTTTTGGAAAAACATTTTGAATGTGAAATTTGGCTTCTTTTCGTAGAAGCAAATTTGGGTGATGTTCCCACTTCATCAAAAACCGATATTTTACTTCTGTCATATTTTAGAGAACTTAGGATTTTGTTTGGTAAATAATAATCCTACAAAAGTATCAATAAGATCAAACATCAGCTTCGAAATCGGAAAAGAACACATCACTTGTAAACCCTACTACTCCAAAATCAGGTGACAATCAGTTTAAATTTAGAAATAGCTCCCATATATATCTTCAACCGATTTCGGGTTAATTGTGCACCAATTAGCCAATATCAATCCGAATGGAATACAGTTCAGAAGCTAGTAGCTCAAATTTTGTTGAAAAACGGTTCAGATATAGCTCTCATATATATGTTTCATCCGATTTGGTGTCAAAGTCCCTCACATGCCTAATATGCACTCCACAAAAATAATCTTTGATACCAGATATCAGATACACATCAGAAATAAGAGTTTAAAACTTTATCAAGATCGGTTCAAATTTGGATATAGCTCACATATATATATTTATCCGATTTCTTATTTTATGTGCACCAAATCGCTAATATTAGCCCAAATGGACTGAATTTCGGCACTTCCGACGGAATTCAGCCTCAAAGCAAGTGCTTTAAATTTTTGTGAAAATCGGCTCAGATATACAGGGTGAGATAAAAAACTGCAACCAACTTCAGACTGGTGGCTGGAAAG